ACGCGTGGTAATCCTACGCGTAGTAATCCAATGCGTGGTAATCCTACGCGCAGTAATCCAACGCGAACTAATACAGCGTGTGGATATCCAACGCGTAGTAATCTAGCGCGTGCATATTCTACGCGTAGTAATCCAACGCGTATGCATATTCTACGCGTAGTAATCCAACCCGTACTAATGCAACGCGTAATAATGCAACGCGTGGTAATCCAATGCGTAGTAATCTAACGCGTATTAATCCAGCATGTGGATATCCAACGCGTAGTAATCTAGCGCGTGCATATTCTACTTCATTTTTCCTTAATAATTCAAAAACGAAGCTTCAAATCCCATTTCTGCAAAGGGAAATCTTATCCAAAATCACGTCAGCTACCCCCCATTTCAGGGACCTACACTAATTGTGAGAGACCCTGTAACGATTCGTACCAGTGTCCACCCACACGAACGTAATCAGCCGGATGCGGCAGAAGACAGGAAATAAAAACTTCGTAGTGCGTTTTCATCACTTCGGCCAGCCATCCGCAAACGTATTCGGTTTTCAATTTCTCCAGTGGACTTTCCGCTTGGCCTGCAATACAAATTCTTCTTAAATCGACTCTCGTTTTCCATTAAAACTCGAAAGCACTTTCGCGAATCTACGCGTGAATTTTACTTCATCGGAAATTTCATCGAATCGCAACTCTAAACGAACTAGAAATTTTCGGTTATTCAAAAAATAGTATAGTTACAAATAGACTAAGCATTGGCGAGCAAACTAATTTTTAATCCCAAGTTTACTACTTCGATGCATAGAACCTTTTCTGATATTCAAAAAAAAGTTTTTTCTATCTTTCCCAGATTTGACAAAATGAAGCTTCTAAATTCAAATTCAATGTCGACTAATTTTTTATCAAAAATTTGTAATTTTATAAAAAATTTACCCCAAATTATTTGTAAACGTTTTACTGTGAAAGTGTGGTCATTTTAATTTGTTTTTAAGGATTAAAGTATGTTATCGTTAGATTCGATGCATCGTAAACTAAGAAGACTCGATCAGCCGCGACGCAGACGCACTCTTGTTCCTTCCTCCTTTCTTTCCTGTCTCTTGTGTTCTTCAAAAAAAGCTTTCACGTGCTTTCACGAATACACAACATACAATGTTTCGCATGTGTGTCTGTGTGTGTATACACAATGTGGCATGCACACGGGGGGCCAACTTCTGTCTCGATCGAGATGCGCACAGACGTCAATCGGCAGACAATTTAACACGTCCCGTGCCTTAAAAATTTTTATATCCACGGCAAATTAAGTACCTTGACAAGTATCTTGATATCACAAAGTATCTATGATTACAAAGTATTCCTTTTACCTTTCGAATCTTAATGAAGCCTTAAAGATTTTCAGTCTAGGCAAATGTGAGCTTAAACACAAGTAGCATGAAACGTGTTAAATATAGAATTCTTTGCAACGTTATTAAAAATCTCTAAGTATTCAACAACAGAAAGTTCAAAGTACTTTCTACGCTAACGAAATGATACTGTAGCAATGATAGACGAAAAGAGATCGATGATTCGAGTGACTGCGAAACTGACGCCTATGCAACGAAAAAATTTGATACAGCGTGCCACGAGATTAGGAGACATCGATTACACTGAATTACTGGTTAACAGAGATACAAGAGGGACGTTAGAATTTACAGAAAAGGGGAGCAACACAGAAAGCTTGTTCAATCGAAATCTTGAACGGCATGTGTTCATGGTTAAGCTTGGAGAAACACTCAGATACTTTTACCCAAGTTGTACAGAGTTCGCTCGGTTTCGATCCATCATTTTGCCTTTTATCTTGTATTTGTTAGTGCAAATTAGGTCTGAATTTAATGGGTTAATGTTAATGTAAATTAGGATTCAGTTTGATGCAAACTGAGATCAAATTTCATCCACATGTGGATTAGGAAAGTTTTCATGAAACTTGTAATCTTGAAACTTTATATTTGATACAATATAAAAATATCAGAATGACTAAATTTTGCAAAAAACCACCACTGACGTAATTATTCTGTAGGACGTTAATTTTAAGACCAATGATTACGTATCGACAAATATAATTGACTGAGACTAGAACTAATTTGCCATTAATATATACTGTGAATTAATAGTATTAAAATTAAATATAGCAAATGACTTGACCTAAAAATTACAGCAGAATAAATATGTAATTACTAAAAATTGTGGAGTGACAAAGGCAAAATATGATGGAACGAAGAAGGACGAACGAACACGTGTACAAGGCGCCGCAAAAGTCGGGGGCGATCCGCTCGAATGTGCCTACGATCGCGGCCAAAGACTACCTACGTCTAGTGATGGGCTCGAGACGCTTCGAATCGCTTCGTGTTTCTCAATCATTTATCAAAACCTCAAACTCTCCAAACATTTAAAAACTGTCCAATTCAACTCGGTTTCCTCAAAAAATCAAAAACAGTATAAAATTTCTTCCATCACTTGAATGAAAATTTACTTTTACTCAAAACTGAGGGTCTCTTCGCAAAGGACATATGGCAAGATTAGCTAAATGGATTGAGTGTGGTAATTAACAATCGTGTCATGAATGAAACTGTAATTTCGATGTGAGAATGTATGAGTGACCATATGTCATCGTTCGAGTCTCTCAGAGAACGAAGACGAAGCGATTGCTCGACAGCTTCGAGGAGTCGGTCTGCAGCGTCCCGTCACCACCATTCTTCTACGTCTACGTCATAAGTGTATAAATATGCGAAGTGTTAAATTACCAACAGAAAAGATAAGATGCATAAGGCTTTTTTCAGTACCATCGAAAGAGTAGGCAGTAACATGAAACCAATGAAATAGCATTGACAATAAACGTCCGAGAATTTCGATCGAGGTGTCCTGATTGGGGGTGCAAAGCCCCACGAGCAGCCAGACACCGTATCTTCCGAGAAGCTGTCTCTCCTCGAGGGTAGTTGGGTCGCATTGGCCCCCTGTACCGCCGGACGTGCCACCGCTGCCGCCTCCGCCCCCGGCACCGCTTCCGCCCCCTGGGAATCCTGTGCTGCCCTTATTAGTACTTATTTCCGAGTTCTCTCGATTACTATCCATACTTAGCGGTTCAGCTTCCTTAAGCAGGCTGCAAGTAGAGAGAAGAGTGGGTCAACCGGGTACCATTAACGCGATCGGCGGCCACGTCTGGCTGTGGTCGGTTATGGCAATGACAATCTTCGGAGCGGCTGCGATTTTTGGAAGAAAGAGAAATCGGAGATCGACATTCTCTGTGGTTAATCGAGGCGGTTGAAATTGTTAGACTGGATTTGAGTCATCGGTCGCGGGGAATGTGGAGATAAGTGGAGGGTTCAATGGGTAGAGTTAGAATATGTGGAGGTATGTGATTTAAGAGAAGGTGATATAGAGTGTGGATTGTAGGATTGTATTATAGGGTGGGTAAATATTTTAAGGTAAATGGTATCTTATTTAGTGGGCACAGATATTAGTGAACATAACTCATATGTAGTTTGATGAATAAAGATGTGAATATAACTCATATGTAGTTTGACGAATAAAGGCATCGGGTCATGAGATGTGAATATGTGAACATAACTCATATGTAGTTTGATGAATAAAGATATTGGGTCATGAGATGTGAATATGTGAACATAACTCATATGTAGTTTGACAAATAAAGGCATCGGGTCATGATATGTGAATATGTGAACATAACTCATATGTAGTTTGATGAATAAAGATATTGGGTCATGAAATGTGAATATGTGAACATAACTCATATGTAGTTTGATGAATAAAGGCATCGGGTCATGAGATGTGAATATGTGAATATAACTCATGCGTAGTTTGATGAATAAAGATATTGGGTCATGATATGTGAATATGTGAACATAACTCATGTGTAGTTTGACAAATAAAGGCATCAGGTCATGATATGTGAATATGTGAACATAACTCATATGTAGTTTAACGAATAAAGATATTGTGTCATGAGATGTGAATATGTTGCAATAAATTATATGTGGTTCACATGCTGAAGATGTTAGGTCATATGGTATTGAATGTGACTATTTGGAGGTAAATAGTAGTCCAGTGTATAAGGACACGAGATCATGAAATGTGAATATGTGGACATTGATGTGTAGCTTAAGTGTGGATGTCAGGATGCAACATATTTTATCTAATAAATTTTAACGACAATTAGTTCCAAACTTCTCAGTTAAAATATCAATTATTGTAACCCGATTCCCAACAATTTCAAACGACCCAATAAATAATAAAAAGACACCGAACGTCGAAGAATCGTAGCTTCCACGTCCAGTGATGTCAAGAATTCTTTCACGATCCGCCTCTAACTTCGATTACTATAGTCATACTCATCAAGGATTAAACAGTCTTGATCGTGAAAAAATTCGTAGAGAAGCAACTACTTGTAACAAGCAATGACAATGTCGATCGACAATTCAGACATGTTTCACATAAAAATATTAATGAAAATAAAATATCGATTTATCTACGTCGACCACAACTTCTTAAATCAGACGCGACTTCAGATCGCGATCGTCGATAAAATCGTTCGAATCGCAAAGAAATATTCTCGACATTGAGGACGTTAAGTAAAGAATCAATTCCTCGATTATTTAAAATTCATGGTGTTCCGTGTTATATCTACGGGGTGTCATGCCAGTTGCAATATAGAGGGACTACGTGAATGCAGAACAGATGTCATTTCGTATGATCACGTTGAGTAAAATTCGAGTAACAAAATTCGTAAGTGGAGATCAAATATGTTCACTTTCATTGTGCACGGAAACCGAGGGAAGTTGTGAATTAGTTACGGTGACTATTAGGGTGGAAATAGTCGTATGTGATAGAACACGGTATTCCCGATATCTATACGTTACATATCTATGGTCTGATACTTCTACGAGCTGAGATATTTATGTCTTGAGGTATCGATGATGAGATATTTCTACGCACCGGTGTTTCTACGCTTTGATATCTCTACGCGCCGATATCTCCACGTTCGGATATCTCCACGCTCCGATATCTCTACGCTCCGATATCTCCACGTTTCGATATCTCCACGCTCCGATATCTCCACGCTCCGATATCTCCACGCTCCGATATCTCCACGCTCCGATATCTCCACGCTCCGATATCTCCACGCTCCGATATCTCCACGCTCCGATATCTCCACGCTCCGATATCTCCACGCTCCGATATCTCCACGCTCCGATATCTCCACGCTCCGATATCTCCACGCTCCGATATCTCCACGCTCCGATATCTCCACGCTCCGATATCTCCACGCTCCGATATCTCCACGCTCCGATATCTCCACGCTCCGATATCTCCACGCTCCGATATCTCCACGCTCCGATATCTCCACGCTCCGATATCTCCACGCTCCGATATCTCCACGCTCCGATATCTCCACGCTCCGATATCTCTACGCTCCGATACCCCTACGTCCCGATATCTCCACGCTCTGATACCTCCACGCTCCGATATCTCTACGCTCCGATATCTCCACGTTCCGATACCTCTACGTCCCAATATCTCCACGTTCCGATATCTCTACGTCCCGATATCTCCACGCTCTGAACCGTCTACGTCCCGATATCTCTATGCTCCGACATCTCCACGTTCCGATATCTCTACGTCCCGATACCTCCATATCCCAGCACCCTAAGACGCACCACGTGCGTTCCAGAAATCTTCAAAATCCAGTACAAAACTAAAGCAAAAAAACCCAGTAATTTGTGTGAAAACTAAAAATAACGAATACTCTACGTGCGATTTATATCCGAAATAATCCCCGGAGACTAAAATATGTAAAATAAAAATAAATCCATGGTGTCCCGTTAAAATCGTGTTTCTGTTCATGCAGCATACCAGTGTGTCTCAGGTAATGGGTATCTAGTCAAGCCTGAGCCAGTAGGTCTGTTTTTATTTGTGGAACGGTACCAGGTGCTGGTGTGTTGTATCCAGGACGTGATACAGCCTGGTGTCCTCGGGTAAGGCGCATTGCAACTTTTAAGGTGCACTTTTCCTATGCTCTACTGTGGGTGAATGCTTCAAAGTCACGTGTCTTACGCGGACAACTCGAAGAAGAAAAACTTGTCTACTCGTCTAGCATCGGCCAGCTTCGAGACTCTACCATCTCGAGGTTTCTCGTTACACTTTCTGATATTCTTTCCGGTGCCTAGTTCACTCGCGGGCACTAGGGCAATTATTCAGGGCAGTCGTTACTCGATAGATGTAGGATGCTACAGTTATTCTTTTACAGCAATTTTGACGTTTATGAGTTTCAAGGAAGCTTTATTAATACTCAATCATATGTGATTAATCAAAGGTGTAGACTGATTTTTAAATATGTAGATTTGATTAATGTTCAAAGATGTAGGTTTTGATGTTAGGAGATAAGACTCCCGTTATATTGCCATCGATGGAGCTGTAGGAATTAATATTACTCAAAGTACTTTTTGCTTATATGCCTTCATACGTTGAATATGCAAGATATTAATGAAAATTATGTACGCATCAAAACTGCATATTTTTAGATTTTGAAGTGATGAAACACGTGCTCAGTCATTGAATGTAAACAATGATTATGCGCAGTGAGGGTTATTATACTTTTTCTTGGCATATCTACTGCTTGAACCTTGTTGCGCATGTTTATTACTTTCCGTTAGGAACTGCGCATGTTTAAGGCGACTGCGCAACCTCACTGCGCATGTACAAGGCGACTGCGCAACCTCACTGCGCAGCTACCTGTTATGAACTGCCGTATACACTTCATATTCAAGGTTTAGATCATTCATAATTTTTTGAAATTAACATCAATGATTGCAATAAAGTTCTTTAACAAATTATATTTTTTAAAATGAAGTTTGAATTACCCCATGCTAATATTTTTAATTTCTCAGTTTCTGAGAGTTCGAAAGCTGGCAGATTCTAGTTCCAACGAATCGAGATATCCTGAAAGGAGAAATATTAAATCCGTAAGGACACAAATAATAAACCTTCAAACGATATCTCGTCCGTTCTGAATATTTAAAAACAATATATGGAGCATTTGTTAATCACGTTTAATGGAATCCACGTATCATATATATGGACTAAATTAAATATCTTGAAGTATTGTGAAATGTTCTTCCATTAAACGTGCTCGCAGCATAATGTCTTACCAAGCAGGATGGGCCAGCACGAACAAACACGCAAAGCAACAATGATCCTGCGATCATTCGTTAGTACGCTGTTATCGTGTTTCTTTCGAACATATCCAAGGTAAAACGCTGTGGATCTGTGATTAACAGCCCTAGGACGCGACCTCGCAAATTCAAAATCTTTTGACTTCAATGTTCTAGATCAGTCGTTTGCAGACTTTAATTAGGTTTGGTCGCGGTCTATCTTGGGTTGGTAAACACTTGTGGAACCGGTGGAACCGTAGGACACTTCTCAACACTTTGATGACCACATTTGCAATCTTAACTTATACCAAACATCCAAGTACTTTAGCATACACTGTCAAATTATCAATTTTCTTTCTAATACTTATCAGATACAAAGTTACTAAAATACAGTATCAACATCAAAGTGTTAGAGAACTTTGACGAAACGTCAAAAGCTAAGACTCTTCAAACTTCTCACTCTCCAAATTTCTTTACAAACTCCTGACTCTCCAAGCAAACTCCTGACTCTTGTAAACTGAATACAGATATATAATCTTGAATAAGTAAGTTCCCCAAATTTTAACCCAGCGTTCAAAGTGTCTCTATGTTCCGTCAAACTCGTGCAATTCCCCGTTCTAACCAGTTCCGTGTTCCTGTTCAGGTAAGCGGTACACGATCTCTCAGCAATAAAGAAAATTCACAGCAAGGTTCTCACCTGACGATCGATTGGACCATGTACGTTTGCGACTGCGAGTCGAGCTGCGATATGTGGGGTAGAGCCATGTGGTACACGTGGTCTCCGCCTCTTCGGTTGTTGTGCCGGATGTTGTGGCATTGCTGGCAGTAGCGAATAGGGTGGTTTCCGTTGTAGCTGGCGCACTCCGTCGAGAAACACACGCTGATCGCCGACTTGTCCGTTGCTCTGCAGTTCTTGAAAATTAAAATTATAAATTGTTAAAATTATGAGAATTATAAATTGTTAAAATTAAAATTATTCAAATTGTGAATTGTTAAAATTATAAAATTAAAATTATTCAAATTGTGAATTGTTAAAATTAAAAAATAAAAATTATTCAAATTATAAATGGTTAAAATTAAAAAATAAAAATTATTCAAATTATAAATTGTTATAATCTTAAAATAAAAATTATTCAAATTATAAATTGTTATAATCTTAAAATTAAAATTATTCAAACTATAAATTGTTAAAATTATAAAATTAAAGTTATTGAAATTATAAATTGTTAAAATCATAAAATTATAAAATTATTGAAATTATAAATTGTTAAAATTATAAATTAAATATTGAAATTATAAAATTAAAATTATTCAAATTGTGAATTGTTAAAATTAAAAAATAAAAATTATTCAAATTATAAATTGTTATAATCTTAAAATAAAAATTATTCAAATTATAAATTGTTATAATCTTAAAATAAAAATTATTCAAATTATAAATTGTTATAATCTTAAAATAAAAATTATTCAAATTATAAATTGTTATAATCTTAAAATTAAAATTATTCAAACTATAAATTGTTAAAATTATAAAATTAAAGTTATTGAAATTATAAATTGTTAAAATCATAAAATTATAAAATTATTGAAATTATAAATTGTTAAAATTATAAATTAAATATTGAAATTATAAAATTAAAATTATTCAAATTGTGAATTGTTAAAATTATAAAATTAAAATTATTCAAATTGTGAATTGTTAAAATTATAAAATTAAAATTATTCAAATTGTGAATTGTTAAAATTATAAAATTAAAATTATTCAAATTGTGAATTGTTAAAATTATAAAATTAAAATTATTCAAATTGTGAATTGTTAAAATTATAAAATTAAAATTATTCAAATTGTGAATTGTTAAAATTATAAAATTAAAATTATTCAAATTGTGAATTGTTAAAATTATAAAATTAAAATTATTCAAATTGTGAATTGTTAAAATTATAAAATTAAAATTATTCAAATTGTGAATTGTTAAAATTATAAAATTAAAATTATTCAAATTGTGAATTGTTAAAATTATAAAATTAAAATTATTCAAATTGTGAATTGTTAAAATTATAAAATTAAAATTATTCAAATTGTGAATTGTTAAAATTATAAAATTAAAATTATTCAAATTGTGAATTGTTAAAATTAAAAAATAAAAATTATTCAAATTATAAATGGTTAAAATTAAAAAATAAAAATTATTCAAATTATAAATTGTTATAATCTTAAAATAAAAATTATTCAAATTATAAATTGTTATAATCTTAAAATTAAAATTATTCAAACTATAAATTGTTAAAATTATAAAATTAAAGTTATTGAAATTATAAATTGTTAAAATCATAAAATTATAAAATTATTGAAATTATAAATTGTTAAAATTATAAATTAAATATTGAAATTATAAAATTAAAATTATTCAAATTACAAATTATTAAAATTATAAAATCAAACTCATTCAAATTATAAATTGCGCTCTTGAAGCATTGAAGCTCCACCTCAAAACTTGTTAGAAAACCCTAAAGTATTCAAGTGAACCTTTCAAAATTTTATTTACCAAGAAAAACATTTGGTATCTACTTAAACTCGAATATTTTGAAACTTAGCGATACTTGAAGTAAAAATTGTGGTACCTTGTTCTCGCATATCATGGACACCTGTTGCATGGGGTGTAAAATATCATAGAACATCTGATTCGGATGTTCCCTGTGAATTTCATTGGCACACTCGATGCAAAGGTACAACGGTGGCGGAGTGTCAGTCGCGAAAGTGATGGATATTCGATGGTCGTAGCAAACTTTACCGGCTTCGGCGTTGCCCGCATTGGGACACGTGTCTCTCTGGCAAACGAAAGGTGTCAGGTCATCTGAAATCACATTCGGATCCAATAATAAATTCTTTTTTCTTTTGAACACTTTTGTCAATAACTTTGGAATTTTTTTATTTTATTTGAGAATTTTTTGGTTGTGGAATTTAGACATTCTGAAGTTTGGGAGATGTAGGTACAAGATTTGCACGTTTTAAAAAGGTCACAATTTGATATACGTATATTGATGAGTATATACGTACTCGCAAATTTCATTAAAACCGCCCTGCGATCGAAGAGATTAGGGTTGAAAGATGGCCAGTAGTAGAATAATAGCTTAGCAGCCGATGCTCTGGCTGGCGCCGTTCCGTATGCAACCACGCATAGAATGTCTTTCACCACGCCTGGTTTCAGCGCCATCAAACACTCCAACAGTTGGCAATGATGCGCTGAAATACCATCGTTCTTCATCATTATCTTCTGAAAATGATTCACTGAAACCATTTGTCAAATCTTCTGCACCGACTTTTGCGATAAAAGTACTCGAAACAATTTATTATCAGACTATCAACAAACTTAAACATCGAAGTATTGATAACTCCTAAGTCTTAAATTTCACATCATTTTTAATATTTTTTGATGTTTGTGTTTATCCTTGCATTATAAATTGACCTTGTGAATTCTTGCTGTTCTGACAGCAAATATTTTTATCTTCATAAACTTTGTAAAATATTTACAGTACTTTTACAAATTAACCTTGTAGAATATTTGTATTATTTTCACAAATCAACCTTGTACACTTTTCTTATTATTACAAATTAACCTTGTAAAATACTTTTATCATTTTTACACATTAACCTTGCATTTGTATTATTTTCAACCTTGCAGAATATTTATATTATTTTTCCAACTACATAAATCAACCTTGCATATTTGTATTATTTTCACAAATCAACCTTGCAGAATATCTGCATTATACTTCGTAAACCTTGAAGAATATTCAACCTCGCTTTCATTCATACTAATTGACCCAGCAATACTCGGAAATTTCATACCTGCATTACTGGAGTACTGAAAGATCATCATAATGACAGCAGCAATCGATTGACTGGCTGCATTTTCGTTCCCATCTTCAGTCTTCCTCGCTACAGTGAGAAATCGTTATAAATGAACGTACGTTCATTGAGATACTCGTTTAGATTACGTTGAAGTCACTCACTAATGGTGAACGGTAGAATGTAGAAGCAGAGGTAATTGACGATCTCCTGGTGAAGATCCACGGGGAGCACAGAGATCGAGCTGGCTGTCAAGTATGGCACGTTGTCGATCAGATCGTGATCCAGAAAAGGTAGTATACACGCCAAGCATTGTAGCAAAGCTTGACCGAACGCTGAAACCATAAATTGCTTCGTACACTTCTGTGTAATTATTTTGTAATTTAGGTCTATTGATGTTATAGTTTTAGTAGGTTTGAGTGATTACGATTGGATAACGACCTTGTAAACCGTTGTGGATGGATGGTACAACATCGATCAGCTGGGTCAGAGCGTTGTACAGTTGCTTGTAGTCCAAGTTTGGATAGAGGGCCATGCGTTCTGCGTCGAATTTCTGTGATTTGATCATTTCGTATGGTGCTTCGCGCACTTCCTTTAACAGAGCTGCATACATATGTTATATTAAGAGTAGGAATAATATAATAGTCATATTAGTGTCACTATTCAGCAATATTTCTATCACTAAAATTAACTGATTAAAATGTTGTCACATAACACTAGTAGGTATTGTTGAAGCTAAATTATCACTAAATTCTCTAACAGTACACATATGATGGTTTAGTAAAATAACTTCATGTGTACATACACAATAACATCTGAGAACAAGATTTCACAGTATTCGCCATATCAAGCCCAGACGGTACAGGCTGGCTGCCATGAAGAAGTCTTTGATAGTAATCGTGAAGGCTAGTCAGCTTCAAAGAATCTGAAACAAGTTTTTCATACAAAAAATTTCAGATTTTCTTCTAGACATTAATATACAAACACTGTATGTACTTACATGACGCGAGTCTGGTCCCCATTTTGTCGAATCTTCAACACTGATTAATTCACTCAATTGTCTTCACTGAACTTAAATTATTGAGAAAACAGAACGTGCAGGTGAAAAGTGGAGCTCGTATATTTGTTACATCGTGACAGACGTATTTGTTACATCCTTTACGTATGATTTTTTATTTCTCCAGTTCTGTGAAAGTTCACGTTGGTGTAGAATGAAATAGTTTTGTTTTCGGCATGTTTTTAGTTGCAGAATCACGGGTCCATTGCAGATTACGTGTCAACGGAGGGTGGAACGCGCAGGTCTTATCGACCTGTTCGATAGCGCCCTCATCTTTTCATCCCCTTCGGGAACTTGATTTCCCGGGAAAATCCAAAAGTTTCTTTCCATCGTTTCTGAACGATAAGAATTGCGATGAAAATTGACGTTCAATATTGTATTGCACACTCGATATAATTAGAGGTTGATCAAGGGGTTCTTCGAACGAAACTTCTTTTATATAATACACAAGTTTCTTTTTATTACAGTATCTATACGCGATAAGATTTGATCAAAAAAGAGTATAGAAGCCATTGACAAAGTCTTAATCGAACAGAAATTTTTCATCGATTTATCACCCACTCATTCGATTTCCAAGGAAACTTGTTATTGATTCTATTGAACACAAATCAATCGTTCGAGACAATTTCAATCGTTTTAATCAAGATGAAATTAGATATCGTAACCAATACCTTTCGAACGAGAGTTATGTCATCCGTTTAGCTGCAGAAAGTTGTTTCAAGACTCGCGTTATGCAAGATGCTTCCTTGCAATTACGTAAGCCTCACATGAGGTTTGACGATTATTCTATAATGTCATTATCCGTGATCCAATAAGACGCAATTATGCGTTTAAGAGATTACCGCTCGACGACGAATTTGTAACCATGTTCTATTGCTAAATGGGACGATCTCGAGCATTGCTCGTTATCAGACTACTCTTTTTAGGGAAAAAAATTTTGACGACGTAGATAAGATAAATCACTGCAATGCGCAGTGTGTTCCAAGGTAATGCGAAGTGTCTGTAAACTTTCGAATTTATGGATTCATGGAGTGAATATTGAAAGTACATTTCTGTCTTTTTATGAAGTGAGTTGATATGTTAGGCGTAGCAATATAACGCGTGTCAATTAAACGCGTTGCAATACAACGCATAGTAATGCACGGTATAATAATATAACAAGCGTAGATATAACGCATAGAAATGCACTATGTGGTTATATAACGAGTGGCGATATAATGCGTCGTAATGCTATGCGTGGTGATATAGTGCGCCGAAATGTTACTTGTGGCGATATAACGCGTGGAAATTCTACGCGTGGCAATATAACGCGTGGTAATACTACGCTTGGTGATATAACTCGTGGAAATACTACGCGTGGCGGTATAATGCGTGGAAATTCTACGCGTGGCGATATAACGCGTGGAAATTCTACGCATGGCGATATAACGCGTGGAAACTCTACGCGTGGCGATATAACGCGTGGAAATTCTACGCGTGGTAATGCAACGCGTGGAAATACTATGCGTGGCGATATAACGCGTGGAAATGCTACGCGTGGTAATGCAACGCGTGGAAATACTATGCGTGGCGATATAACGCGTGGAAATGCTACGCGTGGTAATGCAACGCGTGGAAATACTATGCGTGGCGATATAACGCGTGGAAATGCTACGCGTGGTAATGCAACGCGTGGAAATACTATGCGTGGCGATATAACGCGTGGAAATGCTACGCGTGGTAATGCAACGCGTGGAAATACTATGCGTGGCGATATAACGCGTGGAAATGCTACGCGTGGTAATGCAACGCGTGGAAATACTATGCGTGGCGATATAACGCGTGGAAATGCTACGCGTGGTAATGCAACGCGTGGAAATACTATGCGTGGCGATATAACGCGTGGAAATGCTACGCGTGGTAATGCAACGCGTGGTGATATAACGCGTGGGAATTCTACGCGTGGTAATGCAACGCGTGGAAATACTACGCGTGGCAATATAATGCGTGGAAATTCTACGCGTGGCGATATAACGCGTGGAAATTCTACACATGGCGATATAACGCGTGGAAATGCTACGCGTGATAATGCAACGCGTGGAAATACTACGCGTGGCGATATAACGCGTGGTAATACTAGGTGTGGCGATATAACGCGTGCTAATATTATCCCTAGCGATATAACGCGTGGTAAATGCAATGGTGATATAATCCATGACAAACGAAATTTTTATAAAAAAAAATGACAAAGGTTATTCCAAATTGTCTTCAGACTTCACTACTCTACAAAATGCGAATATCGATTTATCGAAGGTTATATCAATTTTCCTTGAAGACATAAGTACATAATACTTTATATAATTGTGCGCTGTATAAATGGTATCGCGATTATTAATAACCCGTAAGATTGATGCATGCTTAAATTAAACACGAAAAGAAACATAGTCGATGCATGACGGATTTCGACTCGATATTCGTGTTAAAGCACCGTCGACCATGGTAAGTGTGTCACGAGGGGTCGATTCTAGGTCGACCTATAACGTGTGCAGCAACGATCGATATTATCTAAATACGATGCACACCTGCGACTCGGTGAAGTCATTCTCTGGAATACGCGCGAGCTTTGCCAGAGCAAAGTCGCGTAGTCACGTATTAAAATAATCCACAGCGACACCGGAAACCGGCTCTAAATAAACCTTCCGGCGTCTTCTTGCACGCCATCGCGGATCGATTTTGCCTATGGTTCTCTTTCGTGTCACGATCGAACTGCAACCATTATTATATGTATATATAGAGATCTGCCTATGACGTCGTCGTTTACGTGGAACTGTGAATAATACGTTTGCACACGTAAGGAAATTATTTATTTAGAAAATTGCGCGTTTAATTTACTTCTGATTAATTACCGTCGGTGATTGCCGCTGTTACGGGAATTCCCATAGACGTCATGACACGAGTTTACACATAATCGTTATAATGTTGTTCACATCGGGTACAGATATAAATACGAGATATGTAATGTGTCACTCGTGACGCACGCTAGGGTTCAAATGTGACAAACCTGACACGTATTTTCATCATTCTGTATGCACTTCTAATTGTAATCTAAACTTTATTCACAGAATGTACTTAACATTTCAACTTTCTTTATTTATTTTTGTTAATAATTTTTTATTTTGCTAATATGTAATTAAGTAAACGGGTAGTAACATATAAAAAAGGTGCTATATGAATGTCTACAAATAAATATTTTCATGCGTCTGCGTTGTTGATGCAATCGTTTTACGAGATACAAAGATCGATCCAGTCACCTGCCTCCGTACATGGACTTCGCACCCCTCGCGATTACATCCCCTTTATCGCCGCGCCGAAGTCCTATGCTGATCCCTTCTCGCTTCCCTTCGTACGTTTCAGGAATTTTTATTAAGGGGAGAAACGTTTCTATTATACTTTTAATAACTGCTACACGTATCTGTTTCATTACAACCATGCCCTCATCCCTGTGGGATTGCTCACTCTTCCACGAAGCTTCTAATATGTGCGTGCAATTTTAAAGATATAAATCAAACGATTAGTTTAATTGCTTATTGGAAATTTTTTTTAATTACTTTTAATTATGTGGCATTGACTATGAAACTCATTGTCAGAAAATTTCTTCATTGTTTCACTTTGGTTCTGAACTTATACAATTTTTTATTTAGTGAAATACAAAAATATCTGAAAATGAAAAGATCGTTTAGGAAGAGTAGAGCAGGGTCTAAATAAAAATTGTTAAAAATAAAAGTGTTCTGAACTTATTATACAATTTTTTATTTAGTGAAATACAAAAATATCTGAAAATAAAAAGATCGTTCAGGAAGAGTAGTCTAAATAAAAATTGTTCAAAATAAAAGTGTTCGAAATACCCACATAAAATATATTCAAAGGGTGGAGTATAAAGGGTAGATGTTAAAAATGTAGAGGGGTTCATATACAAAATATCTAAAGGGATACAACAGTATCAAAGTGTACTCAAAATGTAGAGGGTTACAAAAGGACCATACTGAAAATATAAAAGGGTTATTAAAAAATATTGAAAAAGGGGCGCAAAACTAAAAGAGTACGTAATAAAAAATGTTACAAAAGAACATAATCGGTGAGAAGATGAAAGAGAAAGCATAAAAATTGAAGATTAAAAGGAGGGTTGAGTGAGGGGGTTGAAACGAAGAGGCGAATCAGGGAAAAAGAGGGAACGATATAGTAGAGGAAAGCCGGGTTGCCTAGGACACCACATGGACACTACGCTTGCGACGTCACGACGCACGACGGGGGTGAAATCAACCCTCGGGCCACACAGGCGTCTTAGAAAACAGTGTTCGCGGGGCAAGCCACGTTGAACGTTGTGTGCCAACGGCACGCTCGCGTCGACTTCCAGACATTTCCATCTTTCATATTAAGGTACATCTTAAACTACGTATACTGTGAATTTTCAATTGTAAAGTGCTTTGAAGCCTTCGAGCGCGATATTAGAGAGCTTTGGAAGTAACGAGATTTTTGGCAGTAAGGGTTTGTCAACCTCGAAATTGTTTGCTTGAGAGTGATTGCGTTGGAGAGTTATTCTGGATGGGTTTTAGGTAAATATTGTAATGAAATTTATTCTGGATCACTTTTTATGCGATTTTTATTGGGAGGACATTTTTTGAATATGGAATTATAAAATTAATTTGTCTGTACATTCTTTTTGAAGAACAGACGTTTTCATACTTTACTACTTTATTTCGATACTTCACTATTCTGCTGCCTTGTAGTTCTGCTCTTTTACTGTATCATCCTTTTTACCACCCTAATATTTTATATTTGTATATCTACAAAATCTTGAGCATTCAGAAATTTTTAGTGGATGAACATTTGACACTAAAATTTCAACAAATTTTTTAGAAAATTTTGCTTATGAGAAAATTACTTTTTTGAGTATCCTTAATTATCGACAGAGTAGAAATCAACCCTCAAGATTGTTTTAGAACCCTCGAGATTATTTTTCCGGAAATTTGAAGAAAGTGGTCTGGATTTTAATTGGAAAGCTTTAAGTATATTTTGAAAGCTGCAGGGATACAATAGCCACCCCTCCGGTTGAAAATCTTCAGAGTGCTGTGATTCTCTAACCCTCGGAGCTTAGGGTTTCGCTGTGGAAAAAAGCAGCTGTAGTCGAAAGAAGTCAAGTTACAAGATTCTATATTTTCTTCTAGAGTTCTATGCTCCCCTAAGCTTCAATAATATATGTCGAGTCTATGAAAACTACCCCTATATCAATTTCCTGTCATTAACTGTGTGATGGTTTCAAGAAACCTCTGAAACGAAGAAACTAATTATTTGTCGAAAACCCTCATCAACTTCTAACTACCCCAATTTTCTGAAATATAAAAAATTATAATGTGGAGTCTATAAAACTCCCGATATTATATCAATTTCTTCTAAACATTAATTATGTGACTGTCTCAAGAAACCTCAGAAACGAAGAAGACAGTCGAAGAAATTAATTGTTCAACGAAAACCCTCATCAACTTCTAACTACCCCAATTTTCTGAAATATAAAAAATTATAATGTGGAGTCTATAAAACCCCCGATATTATATCAATTTCTTGTACTCATTATTTATGTGACTGTCTCAAGAAACCTTTGAAAGGAAGAAGACAGTCGAAGAAATTAATTGTCGGACGAAAATGGTCATCAACTTCTAACTACCCCAATTTTCTGAAATATAAAAAATTATAATGTGTAGTCTATAAAACCCCCGATATTATATCAATTTCTTCTAATCATTAATTATGTGACTGTCTCAAGTAACCTTTGAAACGAAGAAGACAGTCGAAGAAACTAATTATTCGTCGAGAACCGTCATCAACTTCTAACTACCCCAATTTTCTGAAATATAAAAAATCATAATGTGGAGTCTATAAAACCCCCGATATTATATCAATTTCTTGTACTCATTATTTATGTGAGTGTCTCAAGAAACCTCAGAAACGAAGAAGACAGTCGAAGAAATTAATTGTTCGACGAAAACGGTCATCAACTTCTAACTACCCCAATTTTCTGAAATATAAAAAATTATAATGTGGAGTCTATAAAACCGTCGATATTATATCAATTTCTTCTAATCATTAATTATGTGGCTGTCTC